GAGTGGGAACGCCACGGTGTTCTCGTCTGCACAGGGGCAGCCGTGTCGTAGCTCAGCAGAGGATAGGAAGAGTGGAGGAAGAAGGAAAACAGAATCACCTGCCAGAGGGGGACGGTGGAGGAGAGAAGCTGCTGCTACTCTCCCTGTTCTCTGTGGCTGATCGACCGCTCAGCTGCCTGTGCTGCTGCTGGTGCCCTCAGGATTACTGTTATGACTGCTGCTGGGAAATGGTTCTGCTTTTGATCTGCTCCCACTCTGTGTGCCTCACAGCTGAACTGCAGTAAACAGTGCTGACTCCCAGCTAGAAGGATACAGCATCTCGGACCTCAGCTATAGAGGTCACTTGCTGTGGCTGAGCTTTAGCCAAAAACAGAAGGGTGAATTTTCAGTGACCCCCCTCCATCTCTGTGCGCCAACGTCTGGTCCCCAGCAAGGCACTGGGCCATGAACTGGGGGGGGCCATGAGCCCCGGGTGTATGCTGCTGTTTGTTTTTGGCTTTGTAGGGGGAGCGGTGGTCATCAACTCTGCTGTGCTGGTCTCTCTGTCAGTCCTGCTGCTGGTTCACTACTCTGTCTCTGCTGGTGGCTTACCTGCCCTGCCTTCCTTACCCTCCTTACCCAGACCCAGCAGGTACAATGTGTATTACTGTGCATACGTATGCAAAAGTGTGGTCTTAATTTGTCTTCCCTGCTGTAATATCACCAGTTTGCAACTGTGCAGTCTCAGTGTTGCTGCTGTGTGGGTATGATGTAGTCACAGTATGAGACTGCACACTAAAAGTAGATCAAGAGAAGTAGAAATGGCAGTCACATTTAGACTACATCACCTTAAATATTTCAGTTTTACTCAGCTGTTTGTGGATATTCTGGAATTTAGTAAACCTGTTTTTACCATGGGATTTTTCCTCACCTCCATTAAATGACAGAAGGTCACCATCAGTGCTCTGCATGTGACCTCTCTATCTCATTATGGTGCTGTGTCCATTGTGTTTGTGGCCGGCCTGCCGGCTGTTGTTTTCAACATGGCAGCCATTGTTCCACTCAAACTTTATAGTATTTGTTTTTGTACTGGTCACATAGTCATGCTACTGGCTATTATTGGACTTTCAGTGTTTGAGTTAAGTGGAGATTTGAATATGATCACATTATGAGAGCTGGAGATGGTAACAGATGTTTGCTCTTGCTGATGTGTCTCAGCATCTGTGTGGTCTTTCAGTTTCTTATTACACTCATGATGTGGTGCATGCCCTTCACACAAATGGCTACAAATGGATTTGTGTTGTTGTCTGAGCTAATACAGTAGGTGGGAGGTAATAGAGTTTGAGGCAGCCAACTCTATTTCTAAGTTTGTTACAACACGCTTCTGTGAAATCTTGACTCAGTCTTTCGCTGAGCTGCTGAAAGTGGACAATGTCATTAAAAGTTCAAGCTTCAGGCTTAGTGAAATGGGTATCAAGCAAAATTTTATCGGCCCACTCTGTTGCCTATTCTGCTGTCACTCTTTCTGAGGGAAGCTCTTCAAACCATGGAGACAGAGGTCCATGGCATTCAAACTAATGAGAAAATGTCTAGCCTGGTTTATAGTGTGTGCTATCCCATGCCCTTTATTGCACACCATAAATCTCAACTCAACTGAGCTATAATTTCACTGTGAATAAATAAAATGTAGCATGTGAACATCTTAAACTAATATGGTGAACATGGTCAACATGGCGCCAGCTAAACAAACATTTTGGATGTTTAGCTCAAAAGTAAAGCCTCGGAGTTGCTAGCATGGCTGTTTTCTTTGTATTCTACTTAAGTAAGAGAAACTTGGGACCCTTTTTTTTTTTCCCAAACATTTTCCTTTGAGTCATCCTTCCTTCTGTCTGTCTCCATCTCCAGGAAGGAGCGTCCCATCTCCATGGGCATATTCCAGCTTCCTGGTACTGATGGTATGACTTCTGACCTCCAGAGGGAACCTGTAGACACCCTCACTGAACCATGGAGATTCAACAACCTTAGCCATCCACGGTCCAACACTAGCCTCAAGGTAGCACACACACACACACACACACACAAGTCCTGTTTTAAAGTCTTAAAGTACTTTAAAAGAATGGCTTCTCTTTCTATTAGCAGCACTTTCAAAGTGTAAGTTTCCCACGGATCAGGCGGGTGACATCACTCCTAGTTCACTTCCGAGGTTGTGGAAACAAAATGCACATCCTCAGTGCCAGCAAACACCCAAGAAAGGGTACATTTCTCTTCAGACAGAAAGGATTGTTTGGTGTGTTCTGAATTTTTAGCAGCTTTTGGGAGAGAGAGAGAGAATGAATATGCATGAAATGGAGTGGATTGTTGCCCAGCAAGCAGGGAAGTGGTACCATTTCGGGGTCTGCTTTTAACCTCAAAGGAGGATGGGAAGAACAGAGTGTCCTCACATTGTTGCTGCTGGAAACCATCATGCAAGCAAGTCTCCATCAGGAGTGTTAACGGCAGCTCTAGTAACAGCAGTACAGGGTCAAATGAACATTGTCAGAATGGGGAAGCAGTTTGACTTTTGTTAACCAGTAGTTTTACCCAGGTTATTAGGTCTGTTGGGAGTAATTTCATAACTGACAACCACGGTGTTTGATCATATTTCATTTCCTTTTGAGGTCCTATAGGCCTTTTCCACTACTACTAAGTGAACTTAGACCCACTGTCCTGTCTTCTGCTTTTATTTGTATCTTGGAGTTACAGGAGGACATTTTGGTCCCCCTTAACATACAGCATGTATGAAGTGTGTCACCTTTTTCAATGATGTTTGTATATCCAGTCCTTCCTGGTTTGTAAAAGTAAAGCAGAACAGACCACTGTTGCCCAGGTTATGGGTGGGTCAGTTTCTGTAGTGGAAAAGTAGCTCTAGAGTGCAATAAGGGTGATGCAGTGCATCCTTCTCACTCAGCTTCTACACACTGAAACAGTTTTACCAGACACCCTCAGTACCGCTGCACAGCAGTGCCTTTGTTTTTTGTCTGACTTGACATTTCCCAGAGATCCCTTCCCTCTCACCGTGGATAGGCATGCGTGCGTGCGTGCGTGCGTGTGGGTGTGGATGTGTTTTTGGCGAGTTAGGGGAGAGAAACTCAGCAGAGGAGGAAGACTCCACCCCGCCTGTCTGCTCAGTGTTACTATAGGAACAGTATGGTGATGCCAGCATGCAGACAAGCAGTGTGAAAGGAAATACTCCCATCAGTGCAGAGGGAGGAGAATAGGTGGACTCAGGAAGGGAATAGGGAATACACTGGTGAAAATGGCAGTAGGGTTAACACTTCGTTCTCTAATATTATCTGATTGGATCAGAGTCTTGCCACCTCCTCTCATCATCTCTTTTCAAGGTGACAGAAGGGTGCATATGGATGTTTTGTTGTTGTCCTGATTGAGTCTTTTCCATCAGCCCCTTGGCTGTTTTATAGGACTGAAGCTGCTGCTGTTATAGGATCAAAACATTACAGTGTTGAAGAGTCAGCATGGCACACAGGCTGCTGAGAGCTGACAAAACCATAGTGTTTGACTGGTACTGTAGTGTGCATGCTAGCTAAGTTGTATTCATTGGTACAGAGGGCCTTGGCCAACCAGTGCAAGCAATAAATACCACTCACTACTTAGTTGGCTTATGGAGTTCAGGTTTTTCCTGTTTTGCTCTATTTTTTGGTTCTATTCACATCAGTTTAATGGAGAAATAACAGTGTTCTTGTTTTGTATCTTATTATAAGAAACAACACAATTAAATCCACTCAGGTTTTTGAGCATTGTTTAAGTGGTTTGACACCATTTTTCCTGTATAATTGATTATAACAAGATTACATCTTATTTGGTTTATTAATATGTAGTTTTTTTTACTAATAATTGCTTCAATTAATAAAATTTAAGAAAGGTCAATGAGCAAGCTCTTTAATGTCCCTCAGTTTGAGGAGCAGTTCTCTCCTGTCAAAGTGGAAGGTGAAAGTTCAGAGGGGAATTTATCCATTCAGGATGCTGATCAAGACCAGGTAGACCTGTCTGTCAAGAAGAAGCTAGAACGCTGGGGTACATCCTAATTCCCTTTTTTGATTCCCCCCCCCACCTTGATCCTTGCTCAACTCGAACCAAGGGAAGTGGAAAGGCCATTCCGCAGCTCCTATTTCTGCTGTGAGGAGCGAAGATACACAAGACCATTCACAGCAGTAGACTTACAAATAAGAGAACCCTTTTAAGTTTCCTGAGTTTGTAAGTTATTTGTTTTCAGATTTGCCATCTAGTTAAAAGTAGTGGATTTGTGTTAACTGTAGGTCTGATTACCTGAAGTACATGAACCACTTCTTTTTCTCTTATTGAGTCTTTAAACAACATACACATTCTGCTTGTCTGGCATCATTTCCATTCAGTCACATGTGAAGCAGTGTCACAAAGAAATATAGTTTGATGTGATGCAATTACATAATTTACATTTGTCAAACATTTGAGCCAATAAGTACTTTCTACTAAAGATATACTGTAATTTTCACCTGAATCAATGAATAATGAATTTACAAACACAAATAAATGCAGCAGCAAATCATTAAATTAAAAAAACATGCTGCTGCCATTAGAACCGGCTCATTCAGCATCTGAGCAGTGAGGAATGTGTACACTTTAATAAATGTGCAGATGTTGGTTGAATGGTTTAAGCATATCCAAATGAAAAAGAACAACACTGTGCAGAGGTGCTAAGTGGGTGTCCTTTTTAGTATTTGAGCAATGTGTATATGGGTAAATTTAAAAACTCCAAACCAATAAAAGTTGCCACTTAACTCTGAAGTCCGACTGAAAGCTCATCCAGCTGAGCTGCCACCATCAGAAGCCAACGCTGCTTCAGAGGAACAGACTTGTTTTCTCTGCCCCTCACATCTTTTCCTTCCTTGTGTCTTCAGCTGGAGCGACTGAGTCGCAAGTGCGGGAAACATGACTGTAGTTAAGAGAATTGGGATGTACCCCAGGTGTCGTTCAGACTAACCTAGTTTTGTGCCTTTTGGTCTGTAGTAGTTGTGGAGCAGATACCAGAATAGTCCACTAACCTTGTAGTGTGACACAGGGCCCAGACTGCATGATGTGCTGTGTTTGTGTAAGCTTAAGCTGCCAACTGTTTGACACATGTAGCATTAACTTCTATTAAATGATCCACATTCATTTAAACAGGAAATATTTCATTTTTTGAGCTTGTATAGTTTTTTGTTTCATTTATTTTTGAAGGGTATGATGAGTTTGATATTTTCTGGCTGGATTACTTGTTTACTTTGCTGTGTCATTTTGTCAGGTGTATGTACAGTATACTTCAACCTGCACATTACCTGGCTGCCTGTGCAACTTGAAATGAGAGAAGTTCATAATATTACCTTATGTGCAACTGACTCTGCTTCCTTCCCCTTCTGTTCCTCAATCTTAAGGATGAACTGGCCAGTGCAAACCACAGAGGCTCCAAATTCAGTACTCCAACCAAACCAAGTGTCTCTAAAGGTGGAGGATCCAAATTCAGCAGTCCCATGTCCTCTCATGGTGACGCCTCTAAATCAAACACCCCCTCTTCTACATACAGTGGTAACCTGCAGTCCAGCACACCTCTGTCTCCTCACAATGGAGCATTCACTGGTATGAGCCCTGTGTCCAGTCTGGGAGGAGCGTCCGGTGTCATAAAGTCTGTGGACACAGCCCTACAGAAACGGGAAGCTTCAGACGGGCTCAACAACAACCTGGACTGGACCGGTGGGAAACCAGAGAGCAGTAAGAACATCGCAGCATCTGCTTCTACACCTCTCAGAGATAAAGGTCAGTGCTGCAGATACAACAACCTTGTTTATCATGTTAACAACTCTGTATTTATTAAATTTATATCTCTGCTGGTTGTACTAGATGGAGCAGACAGCCTGGGGAAGTCAGAGGTGCAGGCCATCATAGAGTCCACTCCTGAACTGGACATGGACTTGGATGGCTGCAGAGGAACAAGGTGCAAGACTGGGGATTAGATCTCAGCATTAGGGAAATGTTAAAGGATAAGACTGGTGTTACATATTGGATTTTGGTTGTTCTTAGGTCTATCTTCTATGTTTTACCTGTTGGTTGTGTCATGGTCCTTTTTATTGTTGTTGCTGTAGTCTGGATTCTGTGTATTATGATTATGCGGAGTCCAAGTTTAATTTTCCTATTGGAACAAACACCTTGACTCCTTGGAGAGGTCAGAAAAATTGAAATTTGAAAATTAATGGTGACTGTGCAAACTCCATTTGCTGATGAAGATGTAGTAAGATCAATTAAATGCTCCAGAAAAGTCACTTGTGGACATGTGGTGAGATTGTTTTGTCATTTGGTGTTTCCAAGGTAAAGAATGCACAGTCCATCTCAATAGGTTGTTCATAATTAGCTTTACTTAAGCAGGACACTGTATATTTAAAACACAGTTGGTGTGCTAGTAAGAAGCAAAATAAAGTGCAGTGGCCATGTTTATCCTAATGATGTAACATGTCAGCCAGTAAAACAGTGTGCTCATTTATGTTTCGGACAACACTGGAGCTATGACACAGAGAAATAAGACATATCAAGCCAATCTCATCAACAGGAACAGTTCATGGTCAGCTTTTTACGGGATTTATTAACAATGAGGAAAACAGATGGCTGCCAGTTGTATCTTTAAGATGGTCTTATCTAATTCACATTTTAACCTGCATTTTTTTGTATGTTCTTCATCTTACTCATCATTTCCCTCTCTTCTCCCTCCTTCCAGCACTCCCACTAAAGGTGGCATAGAGAATCTGGCGTTTGACCGTAACACAGACTCTCTGTTTGAGGAGCTGTCATCTGCAGGAAATGACCTGATAGGAGATGTGGACGAAGGAGCCGACCTGCTAGGTAAAATGTTTGACTCTATCACGACTCTTTACTTGTTCACAGTTTATACTTTTACACACAATTGTACTGCCCTCTTGTATTTTCTGAAATGTCTTTTCTTTGGCTATTGGGCCTCGTCATCCTTACAGATGAGTTTTCTGGTGTGTATCAATCAAATCCCCCCCCAACTCTTTGTTCACTTCGTTTGTGTCCCTCATGGATGTACAGAATAGATTAGAGTGGTGCTACTGTGTTGCTGTAGACTAGAGAAATTCATTTAACAGACTCTTAAACCTCTTTCTGATTTACATCATCTCAGCCTACAACTTTTGTGGTAAGAATGGGAGAACAGTATATTATAGTGTACGACGGATGCTCATTGATGGAACTGTTTTTTCAGTATGTTTTTTGTATGTTGGCATGCATGAAAAGATTAAACATTTATATTTTGGATGATTTTTCAGGTATGGGTCGGGAGGTTGAGCATCTTATTCATGAGAATGCCCAGCTGCTGGACACCAAGTTAGTACAGTACTCAGTGCAGCTACAGAACTGATGACTATTTTCTTCATCACTGCTCCACATATATAGGTTAAGAGCCATAAATGGCAACATAAATCTGTTTGCAGTGTCTACCAGTGGAACTGAAAATGCCTCTTTGGAGTTCTGCTAGTTTCCTCATTTGACTGAAAAATGAGTCTTCAATCCTGTTCCATTTTGGGCCGACAGGACACTGCTGCCACCTTCTGTTTAATGTTGGTATCACTTGGGAATGTACAGTATGCTTACATGTATGTTTCTTTTCAGAAATGCTCTGAATGTGGTGAAAAATGACCTGATAGCATGTGTGGATGAACTGTCATGTGAGAAGGAGGTTCTGCAGGGAGAGCTGGATATTGTCACTCAGGCCAAGAACAAACTGGAGGAGAAGAACAAAGAATTAGAAGAAGAACTTAAGAAGTGAGTTGAGCTTCAGGACACAGCTGTCCACATCTGCAAACCAGTCTACAAACTGTACTTGAATATAGGCTTCATAAGGTAGACAAGAGTGGCATCGGAGTGCATTGTTTTATTTATATTTAGTTCTGTGAATGTATTTGCCTCTTAAAGGGATAGTAGTGGATTGGTTGTTGTTTTGTGGTGATTTTTTAAATTGTTTTTATTGTTTTTTGTTGTTCGGAGTGTGGACCTTGAATCTGCAATAAAGTTTCTATCTATCTATTTGAAATGGTATGTTTGGTGTTTAAGCTTATGGCAGAGCAGAACATATCTGTGCACGTTTCCCAATGTTGGGCCATGTGACAATTTAAACTAAATAAAATAAAGGAAATGTGTCACTGATTTGGGTTTTTGTGCTTTGAACATATAAAGACTTAAAATATGTGTATTCTCTTCTAGGATTCGAGCAGAACTGGAGGAAGCCAAACAGAAGGCAAGGAATGACAATGAGGATGACGTGAGTCCTTGATACTTTTGTGTCTGCCTATTCATGAGCATGTGTCATGCACAGTATAATCTGTGTATATATATTAAATATTGCTTCAGTGGTCTCATGTTGGTGGTGGTGTTGCAGAGTGATGTACCTACAGCCCAGAGGAAGCGCTTCACCAGGGTGGAGATGGCACGAGTCCTGATGGAGAGGAACCAGTACAAAGAGAGGCTGATGGAGCTGCAGGAGGCTGTCAGATGGACGGAGATGATCCGGTAAGACAGGAGCAACAGAGGAAAGCATGAGCTGGTATCAAAGAGGGCTGAAGTAATGGAGGAAGTGTCTTATTATTTCTTCTGACCAGTTGTCATTTACATTGCAATTTCCAAACTACAGGCCTTCATCATGTAGTCCACATAGATATAATCACATTATTTTCATATAAACACAACATTCAAATGGCATAAAATAACAGCTGTATACTATAAGCTTATAAAATACAAGGCCATGCACTGGCTCAGTCTAACTAGAGATTTCATGTAGAGACAGAGGGACTAAAAGTGATGTATTGTTCTTTCAGGGCTTCAAAGGAGAACCCAGCGTTCCCAGAGAAGAAGAGATCCAGCCTCTGGCAGTTGTAAGCTCCTCTTCTTCTGAGCTCAAAAATATCAACCACAGTGCGACTGCTGTGTTATTTATGTTTCCTCTTGTTTTCCTTTTATATTCCATGTTGTGTGGTTGTTTTCTCCAGGATGTAGGTAAATCTTTGACGTGTGAATATTGTCTGTTTTTACTGACTTCTGATGTTCTCGCCTCACCAACAAACTTTTAACAGAGGAGAGCCAGCCTGAGCTCTAAAGGTAGTCTAGTTATTTGGTAAGTATTATAGAGGGGTTTGAACGTTCAAGCTTGACAGAAGCTTTTAGGATAACTGAAGTTGGAGCAGTGCACTCGTTTGCTCGTTGTAAAAAAATAAAAAAAAAGTGTGTTATCTGATCTAGGCTCTCCTTTGTTGAGTTTCATAAGGCATGGTTTTGTTTTGAAGAAGGACATTATTTGCAGCAGGTGCTTGGCAGTGGGATCGAGACAGCTGAGTGTGTTTATGAGAAAGAAAACGTGCCGAATCTACCATCTCTTCTGCTGTGTTTCTGTGTGTCTGATGTCGTGATGTCTGTGTGCAGGAGGTGTGTTGGGAGGCCTTCTATGGAGATGGGAGGGAAGGCAGGAAGATGGGGAGAAATTGTTTCCAAATTTATATTTAAGAGAATGAAGTTTCTTATGAGTCACAGATCTGCAGTATCTACTGTCAAAGTAGTTAACGGAATAATGCAAAATATTTATTACTATATGTGAAGATGTCAGACGTTGTAACAGAGCTTTCGCTGTAGAGTTAGAGACGGTGGAGAGTGTGGTTTTTTTTGGCCAGGCTTGTTTTGCTCTGAGAATTTGCTGACTCATACCTGAGTCAGCACACAACATTAACCCTGCACTCCCTGCTCTCCAGCATTCTGAGTAATTGGCTGCTCTCATGCTTTGCTGTTTGGGAGACAATTAACAGGTTAATGGGAATATTAGTCTGATAGTATATGAAAGCTGGCATGGTGTGTTGGCATGGGAAGGGAACCTTTTTACCCTTAAATCTTGAACCCTGCTACTGCCTCTGCTTGTGTCCACCCCCCTACATGTTTATCTGTCTGTCTTCCCCCACCATTTCCTTCTCACTTCCCCATCCTCACACCCCCCAGTTTCAGCCGATTGTTCAGCCCATCGGGTGGTGCGGCCAGGAAGCTGGCCGAGGAGGCTCCCGTGAACGTGAAGTACAACGCACCCACATCTCACATTCAGCCGTCTGTCAAGAAGAGGAGCAGCACCCTGCAGCAGCTGCCCAGCAACAAGAGCAAAGCCTTTGATTTCCTCAATGAGGAGTAAGCCAGCCTGGGGAAATGATGTGATGAAAGCATGTGATAGTGCTGCCTGGTTGGTACTGTGGTTCTGTTTTGGTGCAGTGACTCAAAAGCAAAGGTCAGGAATACTTCAAAAAAGAATTCACAGCTCATCAGTTCTCTAAGACAAGACTAAGACTTCATAAAAAGCGTGTGGAATTTAATTTAATTTTAAATTCTTAATGGTTTGTTTCACTAAAGCCTGCTGAAATGTTTAGTGAACAAGTGCTCGCTGCAAAACCATGTTAGGAAAGCAACCCCCTGTTCTGTAAGCTATAAGAAATGTATAGCATAGCTGATATTTATGCATAATCACTGGTAACCAAGGCAAAAAATATGCACATCAGCACATGTATGGGGGTTTTCCTAGATACATTAGAAAGGGAGTTAGCAGAACTGTGTAGAGCTTGTGTCCTACTCAGTGTATTTTAGTAGTTATTCAGTGAAACCTAGTGACCACACAGTAACTATCATCACACACAATGCCTCTATCCCATTACTGTCTTGTCTGTTCCTGATTTTATATGGCACCATAGATAAGGTTTGTCCCATCTGAATGAATAATCAAGTCAGCATTATTTTTAGAACAGTTCATTTATAACAGATCTCTGTGCCAACAAGCTGCTGTTGCATCCAACAGAGTGGCAGCTGATAACATGGTGTCCAGGCGAGAACAGAAGAGGGCACAGTACCAACAGGTCAAAGCCCACGTCCAGAAGGAGGACAGCAGAGTGCAGGCTTATGGTTGGAGCCTGCCCAAGAAGTCCAAAGTAAGGAGAGAGTCAACTTTGGTAAAAGCACCTTCATTACTGTCATGTAAGCTAAAAGAGAAATGAGATGTGCTGTAATACAGTGGTGCTGTGCTTGGACTTTGCAGGCCACTGGTGGTCAGACGGAAAGTAAGGTGAAGAATCTACCTGTTCCTGTCTTCCTCAGACCACTGGATGAAAAAGATCCTTCTATGAAGGTCATTTCACCAGATTTATATTTGATCGTCTACACTAAATGCACATAGTTTTAAATTGCAGGATTTTTAAAAAATGGACTTAATCATTGCTTGTGCTTATGTTTGTCTTAGCTGTGAATGTTTTGCATATCTGTTGATAGCTTCCATGTAAGGATGCACTGTTATAGCTTGTTATGTTATTGATATGTCGTGGTATTTGACTGGTGTTACTGTGTGTCTCTGCTACAGCTGTGGTGTGCTGCCGGTGTGAACCTCTCTGGAGGTAAAACCAGAGATGGAGGCTTGATTGTAGGAGCCAGTGTGTTTTACAGTGATATGCCTGGACCAAAGAGCCCTAAAAAGAAAATAGGATCTCAGAGCAGCCTGGACAAACTGGATCAAGAACTCAAGGTATACGCACGTAGGTTTAGGTTTTACTGGTGGTGTCAGTGAACACACAGCATAGTGATGTACATAAATCCACTGTAGCAGAATACTGAGTTTGTGTCAAAAGTACACATTCACACAGAATTCTGTCATGTTTGTTATCACAGGAGCAGCAGAAGGAGCTGCGGCAGCAGGATGAGTTATCATCGCTGGTGTGGATCTGTACCAGCAGCCAGTCCACCACCAGAGCGGTTGTCATTGATGCCAACCAGCCTGGAAACATCCTGGAAAGCTTCTTTGTTTGCAACTCTCTTGTCCTCTGCATCACTAGCGTACCAGGTCAGTGGACAGATATGTCCATCTGGGAGGGGGTGGTCAAATCCAAAAAGAGGAACTAAAGCATTTATGAGCAACAGCATGCTTTCTGTAATTATTTGCTTACATTCTTGTTTCTGTTTAGGTGCAAGAGAGACAGACTACCCAGCTGGTGAAGAAGTACCTCCAACATCTGAGACAGAACCAGCAGGAGACGGCAGCTCACCATCAACCTGTAGCAGCTCAGCAGGTGGCAATGGCGTGTTTAGAGGCATCACTGTTGTGGGCTGTGCAGCTGAAGGAACAGCAGCCGTTCCTCAGACAGCAGACAGTCCACGAAAAGATGGAGAAACTGGTAAGATCTTAGCACTTACAGTAACAAAATGAACTGTAGATATGATACACACAAGTTGGCATTTGCTGAGATTCTCTTCTCTACAGGATCCAGACCAGCAGACGAAGCCACCGAGGCAACCGAGGCCAGTGTAGGGCTCGCTGACCAACGAGAAACCCTGATTGGAGCCTACACTGAGCACGTCTTCACTGATCCGCTGGGAGTTCAGCAAACGACGGAGCCTCCAGCCAGCTATTCTCAGAGGTATCATCAGGAGCCTCATTACCCAGCACAGTGTTGTTAACAAGTCACTCTGTCCGTTTTACCAGCACAGCCATAAACATCCACTGAGTAACAACATCACATCATTGTAAAACCAGCTACTGCTCCTGAAGCACATGGAAATGTTTGTGTAAAATTGTTATTGCAGTGCGCTAAAGCTAAAAGTCAAGCTCCCTTGCTGCACTGTTGGATGGCTGTGTGTGGGTTTGTCCCTGACAGAATCAGCTATAACGCTACATCAGGCACATAAGCAGTAAAAACAGTGAAGGTGATAATGTTCCATTTTTGTTGAAACTCTTTCAGAGAGGTGTCGATTCAACTGCATAGGGACTTTGGAAGATGGAGGCTGTGCTGCTGTTGAGTGGCATTTTACAGCTGTATTTCTATTATTTTGTCCACCCATTTATATCACTGACTCCTGGCTAAATGGTAGAAGTGCCTGTGTACAATGCAGGGGACTCTGTGTCGGACTGAGCGTGCACAAAGTCTATTGAATGTTGTGTTTCCTCACCAGGGAGAGTGATCTCTTGAAGGACGGGGTGAGTTCAAGCCCCAGTGCTGAGGAGCAGGACCTGATGAGAGAAGAGGCTCAGAAGATGAGCAGTGTTCTGCCCACAATGTGGCTGGGAGCACAGAACGGATGGTGAGGTTTCAGTTGTGTTTGTTAGTCCAACCAACGTGTGTGTGGCCAGAAGTCAAGAAATGCAATGTTTCTGGTTCCAGTGTGTACGTACACTCCTCTGTGGCTCAGTGGAAGAAGTGCCTCCATTCGATAAAACTGAAGGACTCTGTGCTCGGCATCGTGTAAGTACATTCAGATAAATTACAGCTGTAGCTTTCACACATAGGCCAGTATTTGTCAGCCTCTCATTTCAGTTCTATTGCTACTAAAGTGTAACAGCTGGTTTAGAAAACCTTTGTCCTCACAGGCACGTGAAAGGGCGTGTACTGGTTGGTCTTTCTGATGGCACTTTAGCCATTTTCCACAGAGGAGCAGGTGAGCTTTAAACATCCAACCATAATATGGAAAAGTAATATCCAGCTAATGTGGGATTCATCGACAAATAAAATCCCTTATTTTGACTTCCCTTGTTTTCATCAGATGGACAGTGGGACCTGACCAACTACCATCTGTTGGACCTGGGGAGACCACCCCACTCCATCCGCTGCATGACTGTAGTGCATGACAAGGTGTGGTGTGGCTACAGGAACAAGATCTATGTGGTGCAGCCCAAAGCTATGAAGATAGAGGGAATAAATTATTAAAGGTGACGAAAATATATAGTATATATAGTAAGATGTATTTGTAATTAGTGTGACTGAGTAGTAGTGAGTGCATTCAGTGTAGTTCTGCTGAATCGTTTAAATTTCACCTGAAGATGGATTTTTCAAGTTTCTTGTACTCCTCATGTCTCTCTGCATGTGTTTCTCCCTCTGCAGAAGTCATTTGATGCCCACCCTCGTAAAGACAGTCAGGTGCGTCAGCTGGCCTGGGATGGTGACGGTATCTGGGTGTCCATCAGGCTGGACTCCACTCTCAGGCTGTTCCACGCACACACCTTCCAGCATCTCCAGGACGTCGACATCGAGCCCTACGTCAGCAAGATGCTGGGTCAGTTCACTCTGTCTGGTGCCGATTCTTCTGCAAAAACCTAACTTCCATGAAAAACAAATAACACTAGTTGGAGTTTGTCTTATTCAGGTTTGCTTTTTAATCATATCTCTCAGGTACGGGCAGACTGGGTTTCTCGTTTGTGAGGATCACAGCTCTGATGGTGTCATGTAATCGTCTGTGGATCGGCACTGGAAATGGAGTCATCATCTCCATTCCTCTAACAGAGAGTGAGCATAGAACTAGATGGATGTGTAGTTTTAGGGGATACATTTCACCCATTAATACTGCACAGATCTCTCATTGCTGACTATATATCTGAAGTTCCTTATTAAATTTCTACACATTTTGTAGAACTTCATATGCATGTTTGCACAAACTGTGATTTACTGTATGTTTGTACCCATACCGACCATAAGAAACTTCTGCTCAGTGTTAATACAGGACATAGTTTTAGTTTTATGAAGAGCATTACCCATGACAAGTGTACATGTATCTTGTGTATATTTCATGGTCTTCGAGATGGAAAACATAAAGCATGGATTTTGGTTCCTCTCATTCTTCCATTAGCAGCCAACAAGGTAACCAAGGCAGTGGGTAACCATCCACGAAGCGTAGTTCATGTCTACGGTGATAACAGTGGAGACAAAGTGACAGCGGGGACATTCGTTCCATACTGCTCCATGGCTCATGCTCAGCTCTGTTTCCATGGCCACCGGGATGCTGTCAAGTTCTTCACTGCTGTCCCAGGTAAACAAACCTGGATGTATGCTCTTATGTTTTTATATACACTCAGTTGGCAGTTTATTAGGTACCCCAGGCTAAAACTAAGTCAGTTCTGTGGTGTTAATTCTCAATTTGTGTGTGGATTCATCTGTAGGATCATTTTGTAAAATAGAGTTTGTGCTGCTGTTGAACCTCACTGCATTATACAGTACAGAGCTGTTTCCGTTATGTCTTGTTAAAAGTGGATGCACAACAGCCTAGAGCTTTTTGACACCTGAAGGGCTCTGGACCACTGAATGTTATTTTTCCATAAAAAAGTTTTTAAAAGTGCTTCTTGTATGTGCTTTGTATGTAATGCTTAATATAATATGTAAGAGCAAATGAGATTCAGCCTGTGATGTGTGTACAAAATGTCAGTTTGTGGTCCTGCTTACAAATACAGTTTACTGAGAAGAGAGTCGCTGTACATAGTCAACAGAAAAGCACAGCCTGGACTTGGGTAGAGTTTTATTTACAGTTTAGCTCTTTGTGCTCTCAGGTCATGCAGTTCCATCTGCGTCCTGTGGAGCGGAGGCAGCAGGCGACAGAGCGACAGATGTCTCAGTTCAGGAAGGAACCAAGTCTGTGTTGGTGATGAGTGGAGGAGAAGGCTACATTGACTTTAGGATGGGTGAGTTTGCTACATGAAATGGATTTTTAAAAAGTCTTTGTAATAGCTGTGGTAAATCTAGATCAAGACATCTTTGTTTGCACCTTCAGGCGATGAACAGGGGGAGGAGGGTGAGGACCCCCCCATGAAGCTGCAACCCTTCCTGGCTAAAGCCGAGCGCAGTCACCTCATCGTCTGGCAGGTCCTGGTCAAAGAGGACTGACCTCTGACCTCCAAGGCCTGATTTGCCTTTTCTCTTAAATCCGCTGCTGTGGAGGAGGAGTTCAGGCAAACCACTACCTCTGCAGCCACAAGTTTAATCAGCACTTTTTCTCCTCAGACCTGAACAGTACTTTGAGAGCTCTCTCTGTGGTTAACTGGACTGGAGCAGTGCAAGCAGATTCACACAACCTGCATATTAATGTTTCATTACTTGTTTTCTTATATCCTTTTTTATTTTGTGGAAGTGAATTTCAATTTGTTATAATGGAACACACTCAGTCCTTTGTTATATTTGGTCAGCAAATGTACTCTGTTTTCCTCCCGACATTTCCAGCTTCCCTCCACTCAGTCCAGTTACCATTCAAGACAAGAACTAATCACCCAAGAGCTCCTTTGCTGCCTATAATAGTGTAACACTGGGGAAATCGGTGTTGGAGCCAGCCATGTGGGATTCATGATGAATTTCAGATCATGTTTTTGTTTTTTATCCTATGAGGTTTGACTTTTGGTTGTATGCAAGACAAGAAGTGTAATCAATCACCAGTTGCCTCTTTAAAGTCAAATGCAATACACATTCATCTGGTTGGTCTGCGCAAAGGATGGACCTGTGTTTATCCAAATATTTAAGCTGTAATAGAAGTAACTCCAGTTTGTGCCTTTCACATATTACCATTACATTTAAGTCACAGAGCTAAGTATCGATTTTCCAAAAAATAAATATCTAAACTCAGAAGGTCCTTTAAACGAACTGGGTGAGACATACGCCAGCAGTTCAACCATACATCAGCTTTTTAATTTGTTCCTATGTTGTGAGCCCTGATCATTGACTGTGTGTACGATGGACGGGCTGAACCTGGTGGCTGGTTGCACTATAGGTCATTAGTGATTGTTAGTCCATGTTAGTGGATGAGACATGAACTGAATGTACAAATCAAAATTTTTCCCAGAGGTCACTTCTGTGGTTTCTGGTAGATATTATCACACTGATATGTGGAAGGTGGCTATTTTTCTGGTAAGATTGTTTTTAATAAGTTAATTGATGATAAAAAAAGAAGAGGTTATTTCTGTTGTTTTGATTGGTGGTCTGATATGCTGTTACTCCACTGCTGCTGCTCAGCATCTGGTTGCAAAAAGAGCAAGATGGCAGCAGCTGTATTCATGATATTTAGCCTTCACTTTTGCATAGTGGAGGGAAGTTGTGAGGTGTCATCCGTCCTATATACAGTCAGTGGTCATGATCCAATCATAGATGATAGCTGTAAATAATACAGCTCTTTGCTCAATTTGCATGACACCAAAATAGAATATTTTTTTAACCCATGGAAATTTGTACATGTATTGATGTTTCCAATATGCTGCAGTTCCTTACAAAATAATGAGCTAGCACATTATTTCATTTCTGGCTATTTAAATAGGAAATATAGTCGCAACGTGATGAAACCAGTTACAAATCTTTTTTCATAATGCAATACATTTTAATATTTACTCATCCAGAAGGCTAGAAAAGTCTTTGAGGATACTGGGAATATCCCCAGAACTACTCTAACTGTTGAAACATATTCAGGATGGGTTTGAGTAAATCTGATGATCCTCTGACTCTAGTGCCACCATTAGCTCAGATTAAGTATCCAGCACTGATGTTACCAACAGCCTCAGCTGTACTTTGTATTTAGTGCTAATTGGCACATGCTAGCATGCTAACACTAAGATGTAAACATTACACCTGCTACACATCACTGAGTAATTATTCTTCAGAAATGTGGATGCTCGACTCTGTGGCTTTAATGTACATTAGAAGTACAAACTGGGGCTGTATGACTAACAAACAAAACCCTAGTTATGTATCTGCCTTTGATCCCTCCTTTAAGCCTGATTTAGTTGCAGTGCTGACAGATTCTTATACCATTTCATCATATACCATTGCAACTTGTATCTAAACCAGTACTACATGAGGTTCAGTGCTCTGCCCTCAGTCTCCCACCAGCTCCAGCTAATGTAGACTTTAAAATATGCCTTAGCTATTAAGGTTTGAAAGGACTGTGTTACAGGCTTTTCAGGTATGACATAGTATTTATTTCTTTTTCAGATAATGTTGTTTGCTACCAAAGGTTAAAGAAGTAAACGTTGATAGTTCAGCTATATGCTGAAACATTGCATCTCATCTAAGGTGGTGGCTTTCAGCCTCCATGTAGATAACATGCAAGGTTTTGTAACAGAAATCCTGGTGTATAGATAGGATATATTTTTAGATGTTCATATTTGAGAACTGAAATATTTTCACAGCGTGAGAAAAGAGAATGTGCTAGACCTGTTAAGCAGCCACACTGGGAATCAAATACCCCACCCCACCAATCCTTATCTTGACATTTAGAGGTCAAAACTGGAACGTTTTTGTTTTTGTTTTTGCGGTGGTGCTCCGCTCTCTGTGCATAAGGCAGTGTTTCTCAGAGGCAGCCCAGTCTAATAGGAAAGGAGCAATTCCAGAATTATTTTTTTTTAAAGACTGTCCCCTCTCTGGCTGTGTTCATGGCCACTGTGTACCAGCACACTGCACTGGTACGTTCATTGTTTTGTCCTCTTTGTACTGAACAGTATCAGATGAGGCATTTCTTCATCATGCGAGTGTGTATGTGTGCATCTTCTCTCCAAGAGAGGAGAGAAATGTTATTGCAGTTTAGCCGATTCAGTATTTATTTACAGTGATTGAGCCTTTGCAATTCAGAATGTATCTTTATACACTGAACATGAATATATATGATTATGTATGTATGAAATATGAGAATGGCTTGGACTTATTCTTGTGACAATGATACATTTGTTTTGTAGGGAGGGAATTTACTCAGCTATGCACAATATCACTGAGGAGAGCAGTGAGTGGAGTTTGCTCCAGGCCTAACTCTTTTTTTGTTGTTGTTGAAAGTAGAGACCCTGCAGTCTGTTCAGACACTGACACAATCAGTTTTGGCCTCCGGAGCAGAAAGAAGTCGAACTGAACTGTAAGCAGTGTATCATGTAAGTTCATCCCATCACAGCATGACAGAGGCTTCTTTCTCCAAGTTTCGCTGCCCTCCGCAGGTCTGTCACCGCTCTCATCTGCATATGTTTGTCATCAACTTGGCAGGGATTCCTTCTGTTCCAAGTCTGCAGTACACACACCATCTTGTACTTCAACAGCATCTCTAGCCTTACTTATTGTTAACAATAAATTAAAGAAACCTTGGTCGAATTATGTTTGTTTGTCATACTTTTGGGTTGCATGATGGAGCTGGGTCTATGTAGTGATACAGATGAGTGACAAAGGAAAAGCCTGAACCTGGTGTTGCCTGGTGTAGTGGTAAAACTCTGTTATATGTAGCAGGTTGTAAACATACTCATTCTTTGCCAGGTCATCTCAGAGAGCCTACATGCTTTTCTTTGCCAACACTAGATGGTGTGCCTGAGCTGCAATATAATACTGTTTCCTCATGACTTTATTAGGACAGAAGCACCCCTCCCCCATCTGTGATTGGTCCATCTTTGTTCTATTCAAGGCCTTGATTTCAGCTTCTTGAATTAGGCTGAACTGATGATTAGCAAGCTGAGAGACAGATAGAGAGGCTTTAATCACTTCCCAAGCTCTTAGGAGAATGTCTGGCTCTCTGAATCACAGTAATGGTAGCAAAGTAGGAAGTTAAGAGATATACAGTGTGCCTGGTGGCTTTGGTTCACATTTGCATACCCTTGCTCTCAGTTGAAAACCCTGTATCTTTTAAGTGTTTTTCAGGAGATGACCTAGCATTCTGAAGTTTAACATGGTTTTGGTAAGTTTTTTTTTTATTATTAACCCAAAGAGAGCAGATAATTCTTTTCAACCTGTAGCTACATCTTTAACTGCATACAAAACCATGGAAATCGCCACATTTGGATGTAGGAAGTTGCAGAATGTCAACCTTTATTTTGAAAGAGTATGAACACTGACCCTACACATAATCGCGGTTATGAAATGTGGGATAACAACAGCAAAGGAAGTGATTAACAGATTTTTTTTTTTTTATGTGGGATAAAAACAGCAAAGGAAGTGATTAAAAGATTTTTTTTTTTTTTTTTTTTTTAGTTTTGAAGTAGCATGAAAAGCAATGTGAGTAAATGTGGAGAGGAAGATGTTTTTACTTAAAGGTCTCAATGCTACACGATTCATCACTGGAAAGACAAGTGCAGATAAATGCACAATTTACAATTTTAAGGAAATGGTAAAACATTTTCTTAGGTTGTGGGAAATTTGATAGTGAAAACCACTAAAGGACTGGGTGATATAAAGGGAATAAAGCATGAAAGGCCAGCTGGAGATGGGGGACAAACAAGCACAGATACAGAGGGCTATAAATATTTAAAGGGAACATGTCTAATGGCTAGAATACAAGAACGCCAGTAGAGTAATGATGTTACACACTGGTGCAGTAGGTGGTGGCATGTCCCCTCCAAGTTGGTTTGTAGCCCTCCATGGCCACTCACTGTATCTGAAAGCACTTGAAAACAAATTATAAGTAGACATAAACTTAAAGCAAGACTAAGTTTTTAAAGGAGATGTAACACAATTATTTGAAGTTCAGTTCATTAGTTTGCCAACTTTGACACATGTTTTTTGGTGTTACAATCTGGTGTTAACAAACTTCAGGTAGATATTTCTGTGTATTACTAATTAGTTTGACTTATTGCTGTTCTTTGCTTGTGTTACTGTTACAAAATCACTGAAATGTTCATCTCTAACATGCTAAACATAGTGTAGCAGTAGTACAAGAAGCCTATGAAAAGGTTGGGAGGTCAACAAAGTGACGGTAATATAAGTTCGCTAACATTAGCTTCTATATGGCATTGCTCATACCAGACCAAGGAAGTCGGTACAAACTGAGGTACGGGGTGTGTTTTATAGCTGAGCAATTCAACATATCACTTCAGGATTATTCTGTTATACAACTGTAAACAGTTCTTAACTGTAACTGCCAAAAATCTCCAGAATAAAATGGCCCATGTTATAAAGTTTAGGGCTGTACTGATAAGAGCACCAAGGTCAGACTTTCAAAATCTTTTTCTCTTAGAACTAAAAACTCCTTTTGATACATGTACAGTTGTGTGAATCGGTCAACCTTGCAAAGATTGTGCACAATTAAGCTGATATTACCGTTTTACCATCTCCTCTGCAGCCATAGATGGTGGCTCCAGTGTCATACAGGGTTTATCCACCAGATCCCATCACAATTTCTTGCTCCTGTTGGAACTGTGGCCCAGGATGCTCCAGGTCAACTGAGCTAAAGCCCTGCAAACAACATGCTGGTAATTGAGGGTTAATGTGAATGTATTTGTGTGGGTTTCTATATTTCACTGAGGGTCACATGGGTGCAACAAGGTAGGTGCTGACGTCGCTGAATGCCACATTTCCGTCACTGCAAGGCAAATGCACAAGGTAGAATCCCTGCTCATAAATACACCCTCTCCCCAAAACAGATTTGCTGTGGTGCATCAGTTCAGCATGAACCATGAGTAAGTCTCAAGCACACACACATACACACCCCTGAGGAGAAATGTTTTCTATGTTGCATGTCACAGCCCTCGTCTGCTCTGTCATCTCAGCTGGCTTGACACAGTCTTCCCCAGTGTAGAATAAACACACAGCTGGAGTCCTGTCTGATTCACTCACACTATCTATTTCTGTCCTCATACCATTTCTCATCACTCTGTTCACACTCTGCTCCCCTCGTCTCCTTTGTCAGCCTATGTCTTTCCTGTTTTTTTTTTCTTGTATGACACGAGGACTCCCTTCCTTTGTTAATCATCTCTGTCACCAAAGGGTTTTCTTTTCTTCTCACTCTTGTGTGTGATTCAGAATTTAGCTGACAGTGTATATGAAGCTATCAGGAATCATAAGACTTGATTAACCTTTATTAACTAGATTTTTTCAAAAATAGGTTTTAAGGCACATTGTCCATTCACCCTGACACTTTGATCTGCCTTGTTAAGGCCACACACACACACACACACACACACACACACAAATACTGTGTATTGAATGTTGCATACAAACACACAGACACTAATTATACACGCTCATTATTCATTCAAAAGCCAAGAGCCCAAGGCAAAGACAAAGGACAAAATCTCTTAAGTGCTTTGTGTTTCACTTTTTAAAAACTGCCACCCGTTTTTCCTGCCCTGGCACTTTACAGCATTTCGTTTTGGTTAGGCTTGTAAGTTACGATAAGACTCAAAAAAAGTCTGATGCGCTCTCACATCTAAAGACAAGGTGTCATTAGTCACAGAGTTTTTAGTCATAGACTATGATTTTGCAAAGACTGGGGATCATACAGGGTCACTGTTTACAAGACTGCAGCTAGATTTCTCTTGTGACTACTTTTCATATGCTCCTGTGTTTGGCTCCAGCTGCACTTGTGTGTGCAGTGTTTTGCTTGGAAAAAACAGCCAAAAAGAAAAAGACACTGCAGAATGTGGAGACGACCCTGGTTGTCTGAAAGGGGACAGCGAGATCTGTTTACCTTTTGTCTCTGTTGTGGTACAAACTGGATGACACATCAAACAGACACTCTTCCTCACTCCATAGCAGTCTAGTTTCTCCTCTTTTGTAACGGTCCAACAGAACCGTGCATTCTGAGACACTGGAGTCTCAATCATATTTACTGCTGTTTCTGTGCCCCTAAGCTGCTTCCTGTTTGGTGCTGGAGAGAGCTCACCTATTGGTTGTTTACAATATTCACTTCACTGTCTGCCTGAGCCAAGACTAAAGACTTAAGATAATATCAAGCGTGTTTGATTTTATCAGAATGTCAAGACAAGAAAAAGACTGACTGACTTAAAACAGTTCGGCTCAGCATAAAGCATAAAAACCTGCAAAGATTGCAGGAGCGTTAGCAATTTAAAACATGTTTGCCACTTGTCACTACAAGGTCGGCACTGGAACTAATCATACTGAAATAACCTATGACCTATGGCATTGCATGAATGTAGCTATAAACTAGAAACAGTGACACAACTAACCCGATTCTATCTAAAAGGAACAAAATCATGCTAACAGCAATCCTAAAGGCAACTCAGCAATTAACAGGTTATCTTATTTTAGTTAGTACCAAACCCTAAGTGTAAAAGCATCCCCTTTCCAGACAGATTTAGTTACCTTTGGACAGAGCCAGGTTAACCTGTAGCTGTTATATTCATTATAGAAAATGTGAGGGAGTTTCTTATCTACCACTCGGCAAAAACCAAATAACCACAATAATCTAGTGATATAAAGCAGCCAAACGGGGAAAGAGCAACACATTCTGTAATTTTTTTATTCATAGAAATGAATGATTAACTTGTATTGGCAAGTGTATATTGTATTCTATTTCCCAAGGTCCTAACAGCTGCTGAGCATGGATGTCTAGAGCTATAAATGTTAATATGTTGTCAATAAGTGGATTGTGGTTCGAACGCCCTATAGCTCTTTTCCACAAGATAAGTGGCTGAACTGTCCATGAGAGGGAAAGTTAAAGTGCTAAATAAAAACACAAAGGAAGATGCTGCTGGAGGAAGATGCATACTATAGAAGTACAGAAGACAATCGCACAGTTGTAAAATATTTTGCCAGAAACAAAGTCATTCTATAGATGTGAAGATGTTGTGAAAATCCACATGGAGACAGGGATGATCTTAGTACCAATCCTCACTTCAGATATAGGGCAAGGAGACCAAAATGCGCAACAGTTGTAGTCTTCTTCATGTTCTGGTGTGAGCAGACTACTAAAGCAAGTGCAGCCTGTGTGTGTGTGTGTCAGCAGTCGAGTCTGTCCTCCCTCTGTATTTTCAAAAGCAGCAGAGCCAGAGGGTGAGCTGAGTCACCCTACCCTTTGAAATGCACTGGACTCACTGGGGTCTCACACAGCCTGCATACACACACATCTTTTCAGCCTCTCCCACATTCTGCCCTCACATGGATCCACGCATGGGTGCTCAAACTGCACAATGTGTTAATGTGGTGCTCCTCCGACTTGTCATAACCAGTGTGACCGTCTGTAATCTAATGATGCACCACACCACCATGAAGCCCAAAGTATTACATCTGCCCGGGTCTCTTTGATTAGCAAAAATGAGCCGCTCCCGCTCCTGTAGCTTTCATTTTCAGCCACATTAAACCTTGGTAATCATCCTATTCAGTTTGATCCTCAGGGAGAACTTTTGGCTGCGAGTTATGTA